TATATTGCTTATAAATATGTATTTATGGCTACGAGGCAGGTATGCCCCACTGCGGGCACATGTCACTGTTTAATCCAAATACATGGTTTATTGTTTTGCAGTCAGTATTTTTAGCTTGGAGGCAGGTAGACCTGCAGAGCAAATAATCCAAAAGAATATGGCCATTACAGAAGTGCTTCTGTGCTTTTAAATTACAGCACTCTTATTCCAGAACCCAACACAGTAAGATGAGTACGTTGGCAAAATAATTATTTATCACTCTTAAAAGCTTCCTTTAAAATTTCTATCATTCAAACACTGGCTGGGGAGAATGCAAAGGACAGAGAAACATATTTTATGCACTCACTGGTGTAGCTTTTATGCTGATAAGAACTTACTAAACACTAGTAAAGGGAATAGCAGTTACCAACCCTAATTCACAACTGTGAATTTTTCAGGCCAAACAGATGCCCTTGCAGAATCCCAGCCAAGTGTTAATGACAGCCCCAGCCCTCCTTCCACTGGAGTCACCAGTTATTTTGCATGCCTTCAAATGAGGTTTGCTCCAACAACCTGAGCAAGCACGGTGCTCTCAGAGAGACTCCCTGCCACACTGGGTAGGACAGGGACCTCTAACATCCCCCAAAACAAAAAGCCACAGTTCTTTCCTCAAGCTTTTTTTCTTTGATGTATTGGGTTATTATTTCAAATTTTTTTTTTTAGCTGATGAAAAATAACAGGAATCAGACCTTCAACATGCAACCAGCTACATACACCAAGAGATCTCTTTATAAAGACACTTGAAAATACCCTCAAAATCTGTTCAGAGAATTTTGCTATCCCTTATACCTGTGCAACAGCAGAGCTTGGAGCTCCCCCAGACAGGAAGTTTAACACATTTAATTCTGTGTTCCCAGACCCATCAATAGGAGAGTCTGAAAGAGAACTGAAGGGACAAGACCCCAGTCAAGTGCTTTTTACTGAAGCAAAGTCAAAGTTGTCAGGCAAATCCATATTCTTGTCTTTAAAAGTGTTCAGTGTAAGAAAAATAAAGCCCAGGTGTAAACATTGGCAAACTGAGTTTATTTTTTTTTCCTATCTATGCACTTGAAACGAACATTGAAAGGGCAAACCCATCCTAATCCTATCATGGCAATGTCTTTCTGTGCTTCCTGAAACTGAGATTATCATCTCATTGCTTGTCAGACAGCTCCTGAGAGAAGCAATTCACCGGATTTTCCTGTGTAATCACAGCACAGGATTTTATTTCTGTTGTTATCCGGATAGAAAATGCACACAGCTTGTTCTGTGTCTTGCCCCTTTCAAGTTACTCACAGACCTGGATGTGCCAGGCTTCAAAACACCCCAACTGCACTGAGAAACCTAAATCTGGGCTAACTCTAAATGGCAAGCAACTTGCTTAGCAGCTCGTCTCAACACAGGCAGGAAAATTTCCAGTTTTAAATTTCTATTCCAATTAAGGCAATGAAGACTGAAGTCCCCTAAACTGTTGCCACTACTTTCCAGGACATAAAATTAACGATTTCTACTGCTGTGTACAACTTTGACTGAAAGTTGGTCTGATTTATAAGCAAGCAGATGGTTCACACGATAGTCCACAATAAATTACAACAGTTAGAAAGACAGCTACATTTTGAGAGTGACAGTGCAGCTGAGCTACAGATGGGTTTATAGATGACCCTTCCAATTTTTAATAATCTTCATAATTTATCTGCAAGTAAAGAAATGTGAGAATTCCTAATGCACCTCCTTGACTAAGTACAAATCACTTTTATTTACACAGGCAATACTTCATGGTCCAGTTATCTTCTTAATTAAAGGCAGCAAGATGCTCATGTTCCATGCAAGTGGCATGGAAAAAGCAGTGCTCAGTGTGCAGTATGTTCAGCTGAGAGCTCAGGATGCTCTGAACACTCTGGGAAAAGGGAACACATCCATCTCTTTTCTTTAAAAGAAGGCTACAAGGCTGCAAACACTGCTACCACCTGCTCATTAACCTCCAGATAAACTTTAGGCTTGTAAAATGACAAGGTTACATTTTTTTGCAAGCTCTGATGCTTGAAAACAGGTTCCCAATCCAGACTACAAAGCCAGTACTAGTGAGCCAGGACTAGGATGGAAAGCAGCAGGAACAGAGACCCTTTTCTCTATATAAAACCAGAGGGGATTTGGGGGATCACTCTTGAGTGGGTGAGGGGAAAAAAAAAAACCAATCTTGGGGGAGTCAGATGCAGAAAGAAACTGGCTGGAAGCAGGTTTAAGCAGTCAGTTCATGTCAGTGATTTCTCTGCCTGGGACCAAACCACATCCATCCAATCCTTCTGCTAAAATTTGGAATTTCATTTGGAATGAGAAGCACATCTAAGTGCAGCTCCTCTAGTCTGTTAAGGTGATGAAGGGAGCAGGACCTAGCAGGGCTCTTTAGGCACAAACTACACAAGCTCAGAGGTGCCCACCCAGCAGTCCCTTGGGATGACATTTGAGGGCTTTTCCTCCTCTCTAATCTTTCCCTTCCAGCCAAATAAATTCAAAAAAGAAATCCACTTTTAAGTGGAAATCCAAAACTATCATTAAAACAGAAGGCAGATCTCCTAGGAAAACAAGTCTGTGTGTAATTTTAATTACCAACTTCCTGGGATTCAAGAGATACAGTAGACAAGAAGAGGCACCAGTGACAAATTCAGGCTCTCAAGAATAACCACAATTCCCATTTTGGAGATATTTTGGCAGGGATTTCCCAGCTCTGTGTGCAGCTCTGCAGCACCACAGACACACATGAGTAGGAAAACCCAGGGCACAGAGCTCATGGGACTGCAGCCATTTACACGAAAAGTGATTTTCCCCTGCCTCTTCCAGGCAGCAGCAATGCTCCTTCACCCACTACACAGAACAATACTGAAGTTAAATTTCTTGAATTTATTTAAAAAAATAATTAATTCTTCTATAAATAACCGGCATCTAAAAGTCTTTGGAGTTTATATGAAACCATTATTTATTACAGTACACATCTCTTAGGTTGTTTAATTAAACATATGAAAAATTGTATATGTCAGACTATTTCTGGGATGCTCTTTACTATGTTATTTGTCATATTTGTTTCTGTTACTCTTCACATATTTAAAGCTGCATTATGCACTCCTGAAAACCCAAAGATCACACTAGGATTAGTATGGATGTTCATCTGTTACTGAGCACTGAATCTGGCACTTTATTTTAACAATATTCATCAGGTTCAGGAACTGCCACCACGCTTCCCTCCAAGACAACACTGGGTCACACTACTGTTCTTTAAAAAGATTGTGTGCTGATTATTTAACAATATTTAAAAATATTCTGTAACTATAGACCTTCGATTGACTTCAGTTCTTTCATTTGTTTTCAAGTGGCCAATTTCACACACAGAGCAAGAAAGCAGAAGTTGTCTGAATGCACTAAAATCTCTGCTGTTTCCCCCAGCCCAAAAATAATTCCAGGGTTACCACAAGCAACCCCAAAGCCAGCACAGGCTGTTCCAGTTTATTCCAGAAGTCAGAGGGACAATGTGCACGGTTTGTGTAACCATGTGGTTAACACAGTTTCCAGGACTCATTTACTGAAGGCAGCAGGGATGCTCCAGCTCCCCAGACTGCAGATCAGAGCTGCTGGCTGGCAGCTACATCTTCCTCCAGCTAACAGCAAAAACAATCCTGGATGGGGGATAAAGCAAGGAGCACACACAGGCCTCACACTTCTTGTTCCTTGCATTCAGTAATCTGTCAATGGTGTGGAAATTACTTTCACAGCCTCAGGAAAGGGACACCTTTTGCACCCCCTGACGTATTAAAATGTAGATCAATATGATAATATGGAAACAGTAAACTCCCCAGTAGCAAGAAGTAGTTCTCACTTCTCTTGGCAATCAAATATTATTTCCATCAATGTAACTAGAGAAAAAGAAATGTAGGTAGTGATTTGTCAGTCTATTTATCAAACCAACTGCTGCACCTGGTTCCCACATATTTTATATTAAAAGGTGAATGACATGTAAGGTTTTACAGGTTCCGTTTTAATTCAGGGCTGAAAGTATTTATAGATATGAAGGTTTTCTTATTAAGTTTTCTTCCTGAATGATTATGCTTGTTCAAATAAATTCCCAGCCATCTTACAGAGGTTACAACCTTCAAGAATTAAATGGGCTCTCGTATTGGCTGTTTTGCTCATTATTCCCCAAGCTCCAATTTCTACAAGAGCATTGAAATGCTAAGATAAAAGGATGTTAAGTTTATTTAATTAGCTATCTGCCATTGTTATCCAAAGGGAAAGTTGGTATCTGACTCAAATTAACACTTTAGATCAGGAAACAAGACAGATGATACCTTCTGACACGGATCCTGGAAACTCTGCAGTTGTTTCAGTTATTTGAAAGCTGTTCAGGACATGCAGGATTGCATTAGAAAGACCAAAAGTCACCAACAGCCAACGAAGTGCTGCTATAAAAATGTTATTTCAATCACATTTGGGCTCTTTCTCATTTCCAGTAGTTAACATTCTTGCCACTTTTGTCAAGCAGTCACTCTTAGCAGCATTGAATTTTAACTACACAAAATTTTAAACCAACATGAAGTAAGATTGAGCACATAATATGGGTTCACTGTGCTAATGAACAACAGATCAGGCCCTTGTGCCAAGGCACCACCTCTGCTATGCAGAAAAGCTGTAAGGGGTTAAAAGTGAGCTGGATTTCAGAACTCCCAGCCATCCCTCTGCCTCAGCAATTACAGGTCCTCCAGTTGAGGATTTTAACTGTGGCTTACACATACCAGAGCCATGGGTATCAACTTTGGAACTGCCCAGAGGATGCAGTGTCTGCATGAAGTCCTCAAAGCCTCCTCAACTGCATCTATATGGAGAGGCCAATGGCCAAAGCAATTTATCCAGCAGCCACATCACCCTGCCATGTCACCATGGTTTCTTTTTGTCAGGGCTACAGAAACAAGCTTATTCCTGTCCTAAAAACTTACTGGTCTTGATCGGATTTCTTTGGCGTAGAGAGGTTTCAAGAATTCTGAATCTCCTTCAAGTTTCAGACCCTTTTCCGTGATCCTCAGGTTCCCCATTCCATCCTGAAAGACAGGCAAAAAGAAACAACCCTATTAGTTACAATTACTAAATTCACCAGGCTGCCAATAGCTGATTTTTTTCCATTGAAGATGACATGTATAGCACTGGGAGGCACTAGAGAATGCAATTATTTGTGTCATCCTTGTAGCTCAGTCTCTGTGAAAAAAAAATTTCTATTCAGAAGTATCTGCAATGCCCCCCAGTAAACCATTTACACAGATGAAAGATGTTCCTTTAAGCTAAGTCATTCTCTACTCACAGAGAGGCAGTGATGCTCTGTGTTAACAGGAAACTATTCACTGTGCTATTCACTGCTGCCTGTATAATATAATAATATACCTGCTCATTCATAGCAAATCCCTGTAAAGAATGTGTGATTAGTATCTGCACAGATATTACACTCACACAGAGGAGAACTGTACTAAACTGTATCTCACCTGTGACACATGAAATTTCTAACATAATTTAAGATGAGGGATTTGGCTTCATTTAGGCTATAATTGCTTAGAAAGGGTGTGTAAGAAACACTGTAGGTAGGGAATTGCACAGGTATGTCTATAATCAAAACCACATCAAATGTAAGGTATGATTCCCAAGATTCAGGGTGATTCTCAAAGTTTGTAAGGATTGAGGTAAACTGTTTTTTTCTGAGGAAAAGATGGTTTGAGGAATACTTTTTAGCACAAACTGACTGAAATCACCAGGATTGGAGAGTAACACCTCCATGCCTTACTCACAGCTGCTTTGGGGATTTTATAGGAAAGGGGAATGCACTTGGGTAGAAAGCATAAAAAGATCAAGAGGAGACCAGGAAAATCCAAGAAAACCATGTGTGTTTGGATATACATTTGCATGCTTTCCAATGCAGATGCAAAAATGAAACCCCATGTGTCTGCTTCCTCTTCCTCCCACTGCGAGAGCACATCCAGCCCCAGATGAGGAATCTGTGTCTCTCCAAGAGAGTGGAGATCTAAGAGATTTCCAGAACAGAAAGTTCTGTTTTCCAGTACAGAACAGACAGATTTCCATGAACTGCTGCCAAAAGGCCTGAATTTGGAGGGATGAAAATCAGGGACATCGCACGGCTCAGCAGCAACACTGGGCACCTGCCAGAGGTTCTCCCGTTCCAAAAAGTGCCATTCCCAGGTAGTTCCCTGCCAAGTTAAGATTGTTCTTGCCAGATCCTGGTGTCTTATGAACAAAGGTGATGCTGGCTGATGAAGTGACTGCTGTCATCCCATTTTGAACTGAAGGCTATAAGCAAATTTGAGGGACAGATGCTGGAAATGCTACTGGGCCATAAAATGCCACTCCCCACATTTTTTGGCCCTAGGTATAAAATATTGGCCTATGAATTCTGGGTTGGTGGTGGCACAGAAGGGGTTCATTTAGCTCAAGCAAAAGTGTGGAGGAAAATGAGTGAAATATGATTATGCACCAAAAAGCCCAGATTAAATTTTGATAGCAGTGTGCTTTGCGATTTGAGCGAGCAGGAATTATTACAGCTATCTGCAGACCCTCACACGTTTTGGGCTGCTAAAAAAATATCTCTACAGTTTTTTTTTTTTCCCCAAAATAGATTATCTCAGGAAGGTTACAAGCCCTGAGGGCTTTCACATAGCAGTGTCTTCTCTGGTTTTATTAAGAGAAGTTGCAGGTCAGGCAAGCTGCTCTGTGCCCCAGCCAGCTGCAAGGACCATCTCCATGCAGTGCTGAGCCCTCCAGGGTTTGCTCCTCAGTGAACTGGGGCAATACTTTTCCAGTAACATGGACCTAGGGATAAAAGGGGACTTGTCAATCCACCACTGAGGCTGTGGCAAACCAGCAATTTCAATGACTCACAACTCTGTTCTGTTGTAATGACACAGATCCAGAGTCCCACCCTGCCCTTCTCTTGTGTGTTTCTCCTTCTCTCCTTCATCCTCTGTCTCCCAAGTGCAGTCCAAAGGATTTTTACATATAAAAAATGTACATAAGGAAAGTTTATCTGACAGCCAGCAGGTTCTACACATCCCCAAAGAGGTATCAGGCCTATGGGACAATGTACTACAACCAAAACATCAAGGACACATTTGATTAATCGAAGCTGCTGCATCCTCTTACAAACCCACTGGAATGGAGAGGAAGAGGCATTTCCCCATGATTTTTTCTCAATCTTTGGTCCTTTTCAACCTCCACCCCCCACTCACCCTTCCCTCCTCCTGCATCTGTCAGAAGCAATAAAAGCTGTGCCCACCACACATCCTCTCTTGACTTCCTGGTGTTCAGGAGTGGATCAATGCTTAGCTCTGACTTAGCACGATTAACTCTCCACTGCTCATGTTTCTCATGATTAAAGCTGACAATTTTTGTGACAACACTCTGGGTCAGCAGGTGAAAAAACAAGCAAAAGTTGTACCCTGAGTTTAACAAGTATCTTGGCCTCTTACCATACAATCACTATAAAATGATATTCCTCTATTATTTCCCATTAGAAAAAAAATATAATAAACTCACAGGATTATACGGAGGTCCCAAGATACAGATACATTAGAGAGAAATCCTTGTTGGAAAGACTACTTCACATGTTGTTTTGGATAAAGTATCTTCATCCTCCCTAAATTATGTGGTTTAATAACAAATAAATGTCATATTCTGCTACAGAGAATAGATATGAAAGTTCCTATGAAATTTCATGGACTGTGACCTATAAAAAGTAACAGAAAACTGCCTAGAGTGACAAAGACTAAGATGTTTTATTAAATATTTCATCTGTGATTGGTATATATCCTTATCTTCCACTCTTCTGCTTGTGAATAAGGAGAAGTATTGATTATTTCATACTCTGCCATCTGAAAATCATTGTTTCTCTCCTTTTTATTAATAGACTCCTCAGCAGAGTGAATAACTTTATAGTGCAGGCACAAGCCAAGTTTGTGGGAGCTCCCAGGAGGCAAGCTCCAAACAGGAGGCACAAGAGTTGGGAACCTTCCATCACCACCTGCTTTGAATTCTTCTTCTTTTTGGGAAGGCATGGTAAAAAGATTCCCATCAATTACATCATTTATGCCCTCTCTCTTTTTATGCAGTGCCTTGTACTGGACAGGCATAAAAATTTATGTGCTATTGCTGACTGCTCTGTGTTGAAAGAGGATAGCAATCCTGAATAACATAAATGTCATTTTGGTGATGCTGAATGAGAAAGGAATTTTGGATTTTAGTAGTTTGAGAAGCATCTCGTTTTTTTACAGCCAATTATGAATGTTGGTATTACTGTTAGGGGAAGAGCTCAGCATTGATGGTGTCTGATCACCAAAGCTCCTCTCTGCCTTTTGGTTGGCAATGTGGCCACACATGTGGCTAAAGCCCAGCTTGTGTTTGTTTTACTTTTTAACAATTTGGGTTACTTTAATTTTTCTTTTAATTGCAAGGCTGGTAGCAGGAAGATCCAGCTAACAGAATAAGAAAGAAAACAGCCACCCTAACTAGAGCAATTTAACTGCTGTGGTAAAACTGAGAGTAGGCTTAGATTAGATATTAGGAAGAAATTCTTTACTGAGGCCCTGGCACAGGGTGCCCAGAGAAGCTGTGGCTGCCCCATCCCCGAAGTGTCCAAGGCCAGGCTGGATGGGGCTTGGAGAATCCTGGGATAGTGGAAGGTGTCCCTGCCCATGGCAGGGGGTGGAACAAGATGGTCTTTAAGGCTGCTCCCAAACCAAACTTTTCTATAATTCTACAATAAATACCCGGGATTGGCTGCACTGATCTGGACTGATTCTTCACAGGCACAGGGGGAATTCAGTGCTGTCTTATTCATGGGCAGCTTTATTAGACCAGGCTCACGCTGCAGCTTGACCTACTCAAGAACCAAGGTGATGCTGACACACATTCCTGTGCCCCTTGGTGCCAGGATCCTTTGTCCCTTACAAACACAAAATACAGCCTCAAACTCTCCTCTGCTTCCTCTCTTCTCCTGGAATTGCTGAACAAATGTCCTATTTACTGAGGTCTTTCTAAGGATTTTAAGGACGCTGGTGATGGGTGACAGATTGCTCCAGCTGTCTGCTGGCCACCACCAGCTCCAGTGGGTGTTTTCCCTGCACCTCCATCTCTTTCCAGTTTTCAGGGGGACAATGGTTGGCAAGGTTTGTCTCTGCACAGCAGGTAAGCATTTATTTTTTTTTGCTAGGAATAAACTGAAGTTATGTTCAGCAATGTCCTGTGGGAGAGAATTATCTTTGGAGGCTGCTTGTGTCAGATGGCTGAAACACCCGATTATCGTTGCTTGTATTATTGATTGCTGTGCTCTGCATTGCTTCCAGATATGTGCAAGTTATTACACAGCTCAATACATCCAAAGTTAGGAAAAAAACCCTCAGCAAAGGCAAGTGACCTCATTTTTTTTTCACCTCCTGGGAAGATATCTGTGCTGTCCTTTTCTCTCTGACTTGACATTAAATGTTTCCAAATTCCAGGTACAGAACACATCATTGCCAGTTCTCCACAGCCTCAAACTTTACTTTTTGTATCTAATTGCATCTTCCCTCCCTCCTTCTCCTCATTTTCTTCAGCTAATTCGTCATCTTAATAAGGATCTCAGTATCCAGCTGTGTATCAGCAGCAATATTTTCCTATGGAAGCCACCTACCAGCAGCACCAGTCCTATAAAGGTAAATCTGGTTACACAGCTTGGTCCAGAGCAGCACAGGTACAGAGATAATGTGTGAAAACTTCTTCCTCTGGCATAAACCTTGCTTTGAGACCTCAAGTTTGTGTGGACAGCAGAGAAAACCAAGGCAGTGCAGCATTCCACAGCAATGATATCCCTGTGTGCACAGATCCAGGATTATGCTGTGAATTGCACTGTGAGGTCTCATGTCCATCACTGCCATCATCTCCCTCTTCCTCTGCTTCTTGAGCTCACATGTCCCTGTCTGATGCCTTACTGGTAGCATTTGCCTCTAAAGGTGATAGGCACAGGGCAGGAAAAACTGCTGAGACTTCAGGGGCTGAAGGAAGGTGA